CTTAGAAGTGATTACTTTATGGAGGGTCAAGGTCAAGAAAATCCAAAAATTCCCGTCTGTTAAAATGCGGACCGATTTTTTCCCAATATTTTTGCTCTGTAACTCAGTCAAAAGTCATTGGATTTCTATGAAACTTGGTGGACGTATGTCAAATGCTGTGATTGTTTGTTTTTGAATTTCGCGCAAAGCTACACGAGGGCTATCTGCGCTAGCCGTCCCTAATTTAGCAGTGTAAGACTAGAGGGAAGGCAGCTAGTCATCACCACCCACCGCCAACTCTTGGGCTGCTTTTTTACCAACGAATAGTGGGATTGACCGTCACATTATACAAATGCTGTGACAACAGTTTCTTGGGACATCTTTCTCATGAAATCAGCTGTTGATTTAGAGGTGTGTCTGGAAGCTCGTGAACCTTTATCAACTTCAAATTATTTTTGGTATTCTGTTAATGGTACAAGAAAATACGTCCAGCTTCCTAGGTGATGGTGTTTCGGATCGAAAGGTTCTCTATAGTAACCATAGCCCTCACTTTTCGGATAAGGTTTTGCTCCAAATTGGTTTAGGGTGAAGTTTTTGATCTCGTTGGTGTCCGACACTTTCCACTTTTATAAGCAACGATGAAGGTGCTTATCGTTGAAATGGTGTGACTTTTGCTTTTTTCATTTGTTTAAAATATATACCCAGGATACAACACCTAAGGATGTGAATTGGCGAATCTTCTGAGCTCTCAGTCTGGGTAGCCAGCGTTGCGTTCAGAAGTTTGTTTGTTTCTTCAAAGTTAAGCACAAAGCTACACAATGGACTATCTGTACTCTGCCCACCACGGGTGTCGAAACCTGGTTTCTGGCGTTGTAAGTCCGCAGACATACCGCTTTGGCACTAGGGGGTCTGCATTCAGAAGGCGCAGAACCAGACTGAAGCAACATTTCTACAAATAAACGGATAACTTTTGTCAATGTGGTTCACAGTTTAGCAAATATAACAATCCAGGCAAATAAAATCAATGTCATGCCACATAAACGTAAACAAAGAAACAATATGGCGGAAACCAATAATTTTCTAAAATAAAGATTAATGCTACGCACAGTTCCATCACTCGCTTTAATGTAGTTTCTACCCACATCTTCGCATAGCAAAAATGTATTTTCTCTTAATCAATTGCGTGTTTGTTTGTTTGTTAATGGTTTCGCGCAAAGCTACATGATGGCTATATGCGCTAGCCGTCCCTGATTTAGCAGTGTGAGACTAGGGGGAAGGCAGCTAGTCATCACCACCCACCGCCAACTCTTGGGCTACTCTTCTACCAACCGTCACATTATAACGCCCTCACGGCTGAAGGGGCGAGCATGTTTGATGTGAGGGATTCGAACCCGTGACCCACAGATTGCGAGTCGAGCGCCCTAACCACCTGGCCATGCCGGGCCCAATTGCGTGTTGATTGTTTCAGAATTTCGCACAAAGTTGCATAAAGGGCTATATGCCCATAGTTGTCACTAATTTTGAAATGATAGACTAGAAGGAAAACAGATAGTTAATAACTCCCACTTCCAACTCCTCGGCCACTATTTTCTGGCCAAATTGTGGTATTTGACCTTCGTTTTTAAATTTCACAATTTCTATGAGGGTGATGAAACATAAAAAAGTGCAGTTAAGATTAATCTCTATTCATAAATCATTTGAAATGAAAGCTTAATTAAATCAAGTATTTCCATAAATAGCTAGCTTTTAACTAAATGAGAAAAAATATTAGTAATATAAATTGAGAAGGTTTATATTTGGAAGCATAAAGAGAATACAACATAAAATTAACGAATATTAAATGGGTTTAATGTGAACTATTGAAAAGTGCTAATATTTTATGTGGCAAATTAATCACAGATCAATAATATATATATATATATATAATTTTCCTGGAATATTTCTTTTTATACTAGAAAGATTTTCCTTCTGATAGTTTGCGTGTTGGGAAAGGTTGTGGTGTCTTAACACGGTGGTTCCCAAACTCTTTTAGCCTGAGGCTCCCTTGATGTGAATAAAAAAGTTCAAGGCCCCCCAATGTATAACTTTGGCATGGTGATTGAAAAACAGTGTCGTAAAAACAATAACACCTCCTTTCGACATACTGTATCATTTAATTAGTTCAATAATAATTTTTATCGGCTTATTGTTTATTTAAAATTGAAATTAATTCAGCATCTTTGTTTACGGCCCGTTTTTTGGCGGCCCCCTAGAAAAGCTTCACGGCCCCCAGGGGGCCGCAGCTCCCACTTTGGGAAAAATGTCCTAACACACTCAGTAAAACAAGGTTAATTATGTATAAATATTCTTAGAACAACTGAGCAGAAGTGGTGATACCAAAATTGGAACAAAAATATCTTACTTCCTTGTTTCTAGGCTCATCTCCGCTGTACTTTTAGCTATTCTTACAGTGCAAGAATCCCCCCAATGGCACAGCGGTATGTCCGCGGACTTACAACGCTAGAATCCGGGTTTCGATACCCGTGGTGGGCAGAGCACAGATAGCCTATTGTGCAGCTTTGTGCTTAATTACAAACAAAACATACAAACAGTGCAAGACATTTGATTTTGTTTCTATAGAAAACGCGCTCCGCACTTTCGGGCCGTGACAATGAAATCCCACTATTTAATAAGACAAGAGTTGGCGGTGGGGCTGTTGACTAGTTATCTTCATTGTAGTCAATAAATTCAAAATTAGAAACGGCTGTAATCATCTGTAAAAAGCCCGTAATCATCTCTGCACGAAATTCTGAAACAAATAAACAAAACAGTTATTTTTACTGGTTAACATACATGATCTATATGATATATCTATTGTCATGTTAAGGTGTTCGTCGATAAAAAAAAAACGCATGAAGTGTTATATGTATATATATCGTAAAAACATCAGTGTTATAATTATTAAAATGATGATATTTAAAACGTTACTATTTCTAACCAGTATTGCTGTGAGGTGACAGATTATTTTAAGAATTTTTGGAATTGTATAGAATGTGAAAACTGAGATTGAACAGTATTCACAGACATAAAATATAAAATGTCTTATCTCTTTCAAAAAGTTTAGACTACCTTTTCATAGACATAGTTTCATGCCACGACTAACTTACTAGATTTACTTCCTCAAGGTCCCCGAAAGTGCTTTGTTTCAAGAGTATATAGAACCAAAACGAAGAGTGACAAATATCTTTATTGCTTGATTTTGAAGTTCATGTGTCGTGCTGTTTTGAAGCTTACAGAGTGCATACTTCTTCTCGTGATTCATGGCATGCGCAAGTTCTACTGATGTCACGACAGAACAAGTTGCAACGTTAAGCGTTCCTTACGTGACGTCATTTTAGTGGCTACTGACTGACAACACACTACTGTATACTGGTGCGAATGGTTAAAACAGGTGACCCCTCCAGGCGGCCTTCGGCCACCTTTCGGGGAAATTATATAAATGACTAGTCTGATAAACGTTTTATTGATTGATTTTGGTGCAGTTACAACGAAGTATTCTTAAAGCTAAAATCCAGGAGTCATGCTTGCCTGCTAAATTCTTAATTACTCCTCTAGACTTAAAGTTCTATTTTAACTTTTTCTCTTACAGTTGGATAAAGTCTCGTCGCTACTTTCACAAGAGAAGAAACATTTTACGAACTTTTGAATTCACCAATTCTCTCTCTCTTTTATCTTTGTATCGAACTTGCTAAACTATAAGTGAATAGGTATGTTTATTTCATTTCTTCATATATATAAATATACAGAAAGTCCTAACAAAATAATGTGCAAATTTCTCGTCACTCAGAACGTGCTCAGATAATACAGTGGAAGTAAAATATTATGCTTGCTTCTACAAGCGAATATATATGCATGTGGTGTGTGTGTGTGTGTACATATAAAAGAAGGTTTGAAATAGGCGTCTTTTCAGATAACATCATGAAGAATCTCGCTTTATCATGAAACTAATTAATTTCAAAAGCGATTATTCTGTATCCATATGCCTTCATACTCCTGGTATTTTAAATACTTTCTGTATCCATATGCCTTCATGCTCCTGGTATTTTAAATACTTTCTGTATCCATGTGCTTTCATTCTCCTGATATTTTAGATATTTTCTGTATCCATGTTCCTTCATTCTCCTGATATTTTAGATATTTTTCTGTATCCATGTGCCTTCATTCTCCTGATATTTGTAATATTTTTCTGTATTCATGTGTCTTCATTCTCCTGATATTTGTAATATTATTCTGTATCAATGTGCCTTCATACTCCTGATATTTTAGATATTTTCTGTATCCATGTTCCTTCATTCTCCTGATATTTTAGATGTTTTCTGTATCCATGTGCCTTCATTCTCCTGATATTCGTAATATTTTTCTGTATCCATGTGCCTTCATTCTCCTGATATTTGTAATATTATTCTGTATCAATGTGCCTTCATACTCCTGATATTTTAGATATTTTCTGTATCCATGTTCCTTCATTCTCCTGATATTTTAGATGTTTTCTGTATCCATGTGCCTTCATTCTCCTGATATTCGTAATATTTTTCTGTATCCATGTGCCTTCATTCTCCTGATATTTGTAATATTTTTCTGTATTCATGTGTCTTCATTCTCCTGATATTTGTAATATTATTCTGTATCCATGTGCCTTCATTCTCCTGATATTTGTAATATTTTTCTGTATTCATGTGCCTTTATTCTCCTGATATTTCTATTATTATGTGCGAAATCGATGCTTGAGCTCAGCTTTTTAGCAACTCGAAACATTCCTGAAAAACGTACAAAAATACACTTACAATCGTGTTTACTTCTTTCAGCAGCGTGACAGTTTCTGCCATTGGTATTATTAGAGTAGGGGGTGGAGCCTATAACAGCCAATCATCTAGTAGCAGAAAGACGACAGGTGACGTTTAGTACAACAGTTTCTCACGTGATCGCCACCATACTTCTACTTACATGTTTGGGAGTATAACACTTTTCGTTACATTGTATCATAAACCACTAATCTATAAGAAGATCCGACAATAAAGTGATAGAGTAATGGAAAATATTAATTTCACGAACATAGGGCAACAATTCTTGGATTACCAACACAGGAACCATTACAATGACCAGAATAGTTATTCTGGTAGTGCATCAATAGATTCTCTAACCCTTCATGCCCAACATTCAGACCAAGAAAATTTCCGCGGATATAGGAAGCGTCGAAAAAAAACTCATCAACACCATTACCAACAACGACACATGGCGAATCAACGAGAAAGAAGACGAATGCAGAGTATCAATGATGCTTTTGAAGGACTTCGGGCTCACATTCCTACGTTACCTTACGAAAAACGACTGTCTAAGGTGGATACTTTGAAATTAGCTACTGGATACATAGAGTTTCTAAGAGAGCTTATTCACTCCGATACTTATTCTGATCCACTAAAAAAACAGGGAAAAGAACAACCCAAAAAAATAATTATCAATTATCATAAAGGTGAGGACAATGCTGGCGTTTTTAAACACCCCAAGTATAAAAAAAACCACCTTATTTGTGTTTCAAAATTGTTTTAGCCAAAGTGTTTTATATTAGATTTCCCAAAGTTCTTTTTTTATTATCATGTATAAGTCGTTAGTACAAGCTATAGGCTACTAGCTAGAAAAAGAAAGGTAAACAACATTCAGTTATATGGAAACACTAAACTAGCTTAAATAATAGTTGGGTGAATAAATACATAAATTTTGATTTATCTGTATTTATCAAATATGTTATTTGTTTTAGTACGAGAAGATAAATTACTTCATCTAAGCACTATAATATTTAGTAACGTGAATGCTCTTATAAAATATCTGTTGAAACAGTTACAGTTTGTGTATGTTTGTGATTAAAGAACACATTAATCTGTGCATAACAGATAAAACATCTGTTGAAACAGTTACAGTTTGTGTATGTTTGTAATTTAAGAACACATTAATCTGTGCATAACAGATAAGACATCTGTTAAAACAGATACAGCTTGTGTACGTTTGTGATTTAAGAACACATTAATCTGTGCATAACAGATAAAACATCTGTTAAAACAGTTACAGTTTGTGTATGTTTGTGATTTAAGAACACATTAATCTGTGCATAACAGATAAGACATCTGTTGAAATAGATACAGATTGTGTATATTTGTGATTTAAGAACATAGAATCTGTGTACATAACAGATCAGTTGTTGTTGTTTTAAATTTAGTAAGAGTATAGACCATGAGAACTTGAGACAATCTCACCAGGCAGAAACATCTAATCCTTCATTGTTTCTGACTTTGGTGTCTATAGTGCTTTTTTATCGTGAAAATGTCAATTTTGATAAATCTGTGCATTGGGTTTATTACTTACTAATATTAAGTTTACATTTACAACTGTACACAGACAGTAAATCTAAAACTATATTTTTTTTATTTATAAAATTATGTGTTTTTGACTAAACTTAGAAGAAATGACGTTAAAATAACCTCAAACTTGGGGTGTATTTATAGACAAAAGATGGAAGGAAATTTAATTAATTTATTTTCTTCTGTGTTCATGACAAACATAACGAATATAAAACTTTTAAAACTTAGACTAAATCTTGATAATAAAGTTACAAAAATAATAAAATAGTAAATATTTTTAAGGTCACATTAATTAATTGGAGTTTAAAATTTATGTCTTGGTTTTAGTATCTGTCGTAAACGAATTCCTAAGAAATCATTGCTAATCCACAGAACTAGTTACATAAATTTAGTGTTCTGCAATAACTAGAGATTAACTATGTATAAGTGTGTTAACTCTATTCTTGTTAAGCAGAAAAAAATATAAGAATAATCTCGAACTCTTCTTCTCTAAAATGTATAATTTCAGAGAAGAAAAGAAAGAATTTATGAATGACGTAGAGGTCAAATCTATTTTTTGATTCGCTACTCCCCATGTATGCAGTAGACTAGTTTCGCTGAATTCACGGCTCATCAGTATGAATATAAGAATAACTTTAGTAAAAATGAAATTAAGTGATTGAATTATTGTAAAAATATTGTTATTGATAAAGTAAGTCCAACTGTTATTTTGAAGAGAAAAAATTTAATGCCGGGTTAATTTACTTCTCAAAGATGGGTATAATTCCTTTATTTAAAATATCCCATGAATATAATAAATGCTAGTGTTCAGAAGTGTATATATATTGTTGCAATATTCTCGTTAATAGTGAGAAAAATATGTAAATACCAACTTGTTTGAAACTATCTAGGTTATATGCATTCCCAAAAGTACGTATCCCAATTTACACATCAGGCACTTGAAATGATAAATCACTCTAGATTTTTGCAGTCAAACTTTGAAATTAAATAAAGTGTTCACTCTCAAGCCTGATTTCAAAATGCAACCTAATTTTATCTGTAGACAAAACAACTTGCTATTTTTTAAAACCTTTCCGCATATCAAATGAAAACATGTTCATATATGGTAATATCACTGTAATAGGTTATTGGTTACCATACACTCCTCTAACAGGATCTTTTAATTAATTTTTTGCCTTTGTTATTCCAAATTCACTATTCTTGTAATAAAAGTTGGAGGGTAATAGTTTTCAATTGAATAATTTTTAATGTTACTTACTTCCACATTATAACTTTGGGTGAGATTAAAGATTTTATAGGTTCTATTCAATAATATTTTTTACTATATTTTTCTTAAATATCAACGGAAAAAAGTTGAATATACCATGTAAAAATGTGATTAAACCATATAAAAGTCGGCTCATGAAACACCCATGAGTTAAAATCTAAGTATCGAGAAATGATAACCTGATGTTCTGTCGTAAGAACAATATTAGTGTGTTGACTACTTAAATACTTCAAAAACTATCCAGATTGGCTCAAAATCCTTGAAAAGCGTAAAAGTGTTATCTAGATATCTCCTGTAGTATAAAGGTTTGATATAGTATTGGCATTTCTCTAATCATTGTTTCTCCTGATAGCAAAGAAATAAATTAGATATCAAAGGAGTTAAACTCAACCACAGGGCTGCACCATCAATTTGTTGATTAAACAGAAAAATGTGATTTTTTGTTGTAAATTCCAGTAATGTTTTAAAGACATTTTTGGAGTGTCCATTTACATTATCTATATCTTTAAATACCAACTCACAGCAATTATCTATAAATTATTCTAATGGTATATCTATATAAATATAATAGTACTGTCTGTTGTCTGTCCACGTAACTACTCTGCGGGGTGTGAATGGATCTTCACCGAAATTGGTATGGAGGTTCATTAGGTCCATGCGAGGATAC